AAATGAACTACAGCACGGTCACATGACTTCACGTCACCACCGCTTAAGCTAAAGGTGGCTAATTTGGGCTATAAAGGAACTACAGCACGGTCCCATGACTTCACGTCACCACGCTAAGCTAAAGGTGGCTAATGTTGGGCTATAAAGGAACTACAGCACGTCACATGACTTCACGTCACCACCGCTAAGCTAAAGGAGGCTAAATGTTGGGCTAATAACAAAAAAAAAGGAACTAATATTGACGAAATACTCTCCTCTCACCAGCGACTGATTGGGCGGGGCATCAGGTAGAGCGGGATGGAGTGGTGGAGCCTTACGAGAGGGCGGAGCCTCTGTCCGGGTGGAGTTTGTTGAGGCTGTAAGTGGAGGCGGCCATGTTTTTCCTCCACCCTGTACAGGAAGGCTTTCATTTCTACTTCCTGTTGCCTCCATACAGGAAACGTCCGCAGACCCTGATCCCTCTCCGCCGCCGATCAGCAGAATAACTGGTCAACGTGGCTGAGAGAAGGAAACATTTCAGTCATTGAACAGAGTGACATCACTATGGAACACTAGCTTCCTATCACCTGTTTTTAAAGGTCTCCTATTATACTATCTTTAGGTATATATTATAGGTCTCAGATATATATAAATATAAAAACGTCTCTGAAGTGCCTGCTCCAAACCCCAAACAGATCCTTGTAGCCCCCCCCCTCTCTCTCCAGCTGTTACTAAGGACATGTCTCTGAAGTGTCCTGCTCCAAACCCAAAAGATCCTTGTAGCCCCCCCCCTCTCTTCCAGCTGTTACTAAGGACATGTCTCTGAAGTGTCCTGCTCCAACCCCAAACAGATCCTTGTAGCCCCCCCCCTCTCTTCCAGCTGTTACTAAGGACATGTCTCTGAAGTGTCCTGCTCCAAACCCCAAACAGATCCTTGTAGCCCCCCCCCCCTCTCTTCCAGCTGTTACTAAGGACATGTCTCTGAGTGTCCTGCTCCAAACCCCAAACAGATCCTTGTAGCCCCCCCCCCTCTCCTTCCAGCTGTTACTAAGGACATGTCTCTGAAGTGTCCTGCTCCAAACCCCAAACAGATCCTTGTAGCCACCCCCCCCTCTCTTCCAGCTGTTACTAAGGACATGATCTAGGAAGTGTCCTGCTCCAAACCCCAAACAGATCCTTGTAGCCCCCCCCCCCTCCTCTCTGCCGCTGTTACTAAGGACATGTCTCTGAGTGTCCTGCTCCAAACCCCCAACAGATCCTTGTAGCCCCCCCCCCCTCTCTCTTCCAGCTGTTACTAAGGACATGTCTCTGAAGTGTCCTGCTCCAAACCCCAAACAGATCCTTGTAGCCCCCACCCCTCCTCTCTTCCAGCTGTTACTAAAGACATGTCTCTGAAGTGTCCTGCTCCAAACCCCAAACAGATCCTTGGAGCCCCCCCCCCTCTCTCTTCCAGCTGTTACTAAAGACATGTCTCTGAAGTGTCCTGCTCCAAACCCCAAACAGATCCTTGTAGCCCCCCCCCCCCTCTCTTCCAGCTTGTTACTAAGGACATGTCTCTGAAGTGTCCTGCTCCAAAACCCCAAACAGATCGCTTGTAGCCCCCCCCCCCTCTCTCTTCCAGCTGTTACTAAGGACATGTCTCTGAAGTGTCCTGCTCCAAACCCCAAACAGATCCTTGTAGCCCCCCCCCCCCTCTCTTTCCAGCTGTTACTAAGGACATGTCTCTGAAGTGTCCTTGCTCCAAACCCCAAACAGATCCTTGTAGCCCCCCCCCCCTCTCTCTTCCAGCTGTTAACTAAGGACATGTCTCTGAAGTGTCCTGCTCCAAACCCCAAACAGACCCTTGTAGCCCCCCCCCCTCTCTCTCTTCCAGCTGTTACTAAGGACATTGTCTCTGCAAGTGTCCTGCTCCAAACCCCAAACAGATCTTGTAGCCCCCCCCCCTCTCTTCCAGCTGTTACTAAGGACATGTCTCTGAAGTGTCCTGCTCCAAAAACCCCAAACAGATCCTTGTAGCCCCCCCCCCTCTCTTCCCAGCTGTTACTAAGGACATGTCTCTGAAGTGTCCTGCTCCAAACCCCAAACAGATCCTTGTAGCCCCCCCCTCTCTCTTCCAGCTGTTACTAAGGACATGTCTCTGAAGTGTCCTGCTCCAAACCCCAAACAGATCCTTGTACCCCCCCCCCCTCTCTTCCAGCTGTTACTAAGGACATGTCTCTGAAGTGTCCTGCTCCAAACCCCAAACAGATCCTTGTAGCCCCCCCCCCTCCCCTTACTACAGTCTCTGAAGTGTCCCCCCCCCATCCTGTAGCCCCCCCCCCCTCTCTTCCAGCTGTTACTAAGGACATGTCTCTGAAGTGTCCTGCTCCAAACCCCAAACAGATCCTTGTAGCCCCCCCCCTCTCTCTTCCAGCTGTTACTAAGGACATGTCTCTGAAGTGTCCTGCTCCAAACCCCAAACAGATCCTTGTAGCCCCCCCCCCTCTCTCTTCCAGCTGTTACTAAGGACATGTCTCTGAAGTGTCCTGCTCCAAACCCCAAACAGATCCTTGTAGCCCCCCCCCCTCTCTCTCTTCCAGCTGTTACTAAGGACATGTCTCTGAAGTGTCCTGCTCCAAACCCCAAACAGATCCTTGTAGCCCCCCCCCCCCTCTCTTCCAGCTGTTACTAAGGACATGTCTCTGAAGTGTCCTGCTCCAAACCCCAAACGTTCCTTGTAGCCCCCCCCCCCCCCCCTCTCTCCAGCTGTTACTAAAGAGCTGACTCTGGGTCAGTAGCTTCAGAGAGAGAGTAGATCTCATCAGGAGAACTCTCCCAGCAGAAACTCAGCTAAATGCTGCCGTGACTAAACTCCATATCATGTTCCAAACCACATGAAGGATTCTCTCTGAAACAGTATGGAGCTCAAACTCTTTCTCTCTCAGGTTTACCACAAGGTGAGTTCCTTTTGATTTCCTGCTTCTTCACACATGCTCTCTCCAGTACAGGTTAGCTCTGAGTGTTAGCATGCTAATGTAAACACAGACCATATTACTTCCAGAACACGTCTCATTGTTTGACAGCAACGTTTCTGATTGGCCCGTGGGTTAAAGCCCGCCCACATTTTAGTAATGTGGTCATGACGCAGCAAATCTGGATCAGCTCCGTTGTCCCCGTTTTTAGAGATGTGGGTACGGAGGAAAAGAGAGAGGGGTTTATTTCCTGACACTTTGAGAGTCTCCTGACACACCGGGGACACACCGGGGACACACCGGGGACACACCGGGGACACACCGGGGACACATGGGGACACACCGGGGACACATGGGGACACACCGGGGACACACCGGGGACACACGGGGACACATAGTGATGTAGAGAAGACATCAGAAAGTGCATTCTGCATAAGCTCAATAATAAAGAGTTTGTCCGGGACACTGATACAGAGATCTGGAGTCAGTTACCTATAATGCCGCTGTCCCTGCTCTCCAGTGGAGGAGGGCGAGGTGACGGAGGCCTGGAGGGAGGAGGCCTGTTTGTTGTTGTTTCCCTCCCCTCCAGCAGGGGGAGGCAGGGTGGAGGTGGGGGAGGAGCTGCTGCTGGCCAGACTGGAGGAGGGAGAGATCCTCTGTGGGGAGAACAGGCTGAATCAGGACTACAACTGTGTATGTGTGCTAATGTTGGGCTATAAAGGAACTACAGCACGGTCACATGACTTCACGTCACCACCGCTAAGCTAAAGGTGGCTAATGTTGGGCTATAAAGGAACTACAGCACGGTCACATGACTTCACGTCACCACCGCTAAGCTAAAGGAGGCTAACGTTGGGCTATAAAGGAACTACAGCACGGTCACATGACTTCACGTCACCACCCCTAAGCTAAAGGTGGCTAATGTTGGGCTATAAAGGAACTACAGCGGTCACATGACTTCACGTCATCACCGCTAAGCTAAAGGCTAATGTTGGGCTATAAAGGAACTACAGCACGGTCACATGACTTCACGTCACCACCGCTAAGCTAAAGGAGGCTAATGTTGGGCTATAAAGGAACTACAGCCCGGTCACATGACTTCACGTCACCACCGCTAAGCTAAAGGCGGCTAATGTTGGGCTATAAAGGAACTACACATCTCACATGACTTCACGTCACCACGCTAAGCTAAAGGTGGCTAATGTTGGGCTATAAAGGAACTACAGCACGGTCACATGACTTCACGTCACCACCGCTAAGCTAAAGGTGCTAATGTTGGGCTATAAAGGAACTACAGCACGGTCACATGACTTCACCGCTAAGCTAAAGGAGGCTAACGTTGGGCTATGAAGGAACTGTGTGTGTGTGTGTGTGTGTTACCTGTTCATCCTCCTGTCTGTATTCTCCTGGCTCACTGACCACCTTCTCCCCCAGCAGGAAGCCCAGCCGGGTCATCAGAGCGTCGGCTGCTTCATCCACCGAGGGAGGGGGGCCCAGCTGCTCTTCCTCACCTAGGGAGGGAGACGAGGGTGGGGGGGTTATTTCACCGCAGCTCAAGCGTTACAAGTAACTGAGAGATTAGCATATACCAAAATGTGAGTTTTTTACTCAAAACTTATTGACTTTAAGAAAGTATTTTGATTCCCTTGAACCGTCTTTGTGCCACACACACACACACACACACACACACACACACACACACACACACACACACACACACACACACACACAACACACAGAATAATCTCCAAAGCAGCTCCCACTGGGATTATTGTGTGGGAGGAAAAGTAATTGATCTCCTTATTAATATATTCATATGACTTAGTATGCGTGCAAGAGCAGACACACACATATATATACACACACACAGCCTGTAAACCACAGCATGTGCGCTTATACTCTCTGACTGAGTCTATAATTACAGCTATAAATTGCTGACTGGTGGACTAAATACACTACACACACACACACACTGTGAAGACTGTGTGTGTGTACGCGCACATACGTGTCCATGTGTGTGTGTGTGCATGTGCATGTGTGCGTGTGGTGAGTCAATGACAGGGTTTGCGAGTCATTTTTAGCAGAAGAAATGGAAAAAATCTGATTCAGAGACGTTTCCATTTCTGTGTGCTGTCTCTTTCTCTGATGTGTTTAAAGAGGCCTTGTTCCTTTATTCCTGTAGTTCTATAGGAGTTAGTGCATGTCAATGGTCTGCAGAGGCTAAAATCCCTGTGTTCCTCCAGAGGACAATCATAGTCCACAGTGGTGGAAGAAGTACTCAGATGTTATACTCCAGCCTCCATTGGACTCCTTTCTTTACTTCCGGAACATAGTGACATCCCTACGGAAAACACCCGCGCTCCTATTGGCAAGCGCTCCAACACATTGTACATGATAGGCTAAGGGGCGGGACATCTCCAAGCGGTGGACCAATCACAACAGAGCCGGATTGAAGACGCAATTTTTTCTCGACACATTTCAATGAAAGAAGATATTCCTTATGAAAGACGCCCCAAAGAAACTGGTGCAGACCGTTGTGATGGAAACCTGAAGCAACAACACCTGCTAACCTGCTCTCCTATTGGCTAGCGCTACAACACATTGTATGTGACAGGCTAAGGGGCGGGACATCTCTAAGCGGTGGACCAATCACAACAGAGCCAGATTGAAGAGGCGATTTTCTTTTCGAGAGAAAGTCCTTCTTCTTCTCACCTTCTCCCACACTTCCTCCCTCAGGATGATCCTCCCATTCCCGACACAGATCTGCCCTCTCCTGATTGGCCGGACAGCAGCAGGCGTGCAGCAGCCATTGGCGCAGCAGCGAGGAGGCGTGGCTTAAGAACCTCTGCGCTGTGACATCATCATCAGATCCGCCGCCGCCGCATGATGATGATGTCACGGTGGAGCAGCCCACGTGAAAACACCACTTCCTCCTGGAGCGGCTGCACGCTTTCAAAACAGCCGCCGTGCAGTCCATCGCTGGCTTCTGATTGGCTCAGAGCGGGGACCATGTGACTAACAGATCAAAGGGTTAGCAGCTAGTGGAGTTAGCTGAGTTTCTGTGTGGCTGCTCGTCCTCTCCATTAAGGATTAGAGGTACAACTACGAGAATAAAGTCAGAAAGCTGAGATTTTGTGAATTCAGACATTTAAAAAAAAAAAAAAACATTTGGACTTTGGTCAGAATTTTTGCGATAAAGCCAAGACAAAAGTCACAATTTTAAAGAAAGTTTAAAAGCATGAGAATTTTCCTGGAAAAAACCCAAATTCTTTCTAATTACGAAAATTCTGAATAGTTTTTTCTCAAAATCTTGAAATGTTGGGATTTCCAGATCTCTGCAGGGATCACGATCCTCTCCTGTCTGAGCTCCTCCTTCTCCACAGAACACAAAGGAGGTGAGATAAGGAACATGGAGGTATTCCGAAGCAGAAACACTGAAGTTAATAAACGTGCAAACACTCGGTAAAATCCAAACTCCTCGAGTAAAAGTTGAGGAGTTTCTTCCAGAGGTGTAACCAGACCCCTCTGCTGCTGAGCTTCACGGCAGATCTGCACGATGTAATCCTCTCCTTATTGTTCTCCCGAGACAAAAAAAACAACACTTCATCCACAGGCAGCTTCAGATCCACAAGAGAAAACTACGACTAAAGCATGGTGGCAAACAGAGAAGACCCTCCAGAGGTGAAGAGTAGAGGAAGTCAAGTCTCCAGGAGGCAGAGAGTTTTTCCTACAGCCTCCAAAAATCTGCTCTAAGACGAACTCCCCTCGACTGACTGCACAGCAAATACCTCCCCTCCTCCAACCCACACCCACACCACACACACACACACACACACACACACACACACACACCACACCCACACACACACACACACAACACACACACACACACACACACCACAAGGCAGGAGAAAGAGAGAGAGAGAGGGTAATCTGTACGTTTGGAAAGAAACAGAAACACAGAAAGAATCCTGACCAGAGAAATGCTACAATTAAAGAGAAACTGTTTTCCACGAACAGAAGACGCGTCTCGCCACAGAGTGAAGATCAGAGATCAGAGTGAAGATAGTGGTGGTCTAATGGATAGTGAGGTGGGCTGAAGATCGGAAGGTTGTGAGTTCAAATCCCGCCTGGAACACCACCACTAGTGCGCCCTTGAGTAAGGCACTTAGTCCTCAGTTACTCCAGGGAGGATGTCCCTGTAATTGGTCATTGTAAGTCGCTTTGGATAAAAGTGTCAGCGAAATGTAATGTAATGTAAAAGATCAGAGTGAAGATCAAACTTCTTCAGTCTCAGGACATGTGAACAATGTAGGAAGAAATATATTAAACAAAGAGTGAGACCTCAGTAAAAACTCTCTGAGAATGCATTTTAAAATCTTTTTGAAGTAACGGGACAAACGAGGGTGAAGACTGAGACTGATGGGCGTGAAATAAGATCAATTAGAAAAGAATTAGTCGAGGTTTAAAGTTTCCACACTTGGTCGACAAACTGCGACAAACAAGTCGTTGTTATTCCTTGATTTCACGCCTTCTAATAAGTATATTTATACTAATATGTATACTCAGAAAACCCTGCAATATAACCTTTATCATACAAAACAAAACCAACAAATGCACATATTGTACTTTGCCTTTGGATAATATTTAGAAAATGAAAACCAAGTATTTTGGGTTTTATTGTATCTCAGTTTTGAGTCTGTGCAACAAAACATGTGTTTCCATCATAGACTGTATATATAAAGGTTTCCATGCACTGCTGTTTCAGTAATGACCACTCCTTGAAGTTTGATTTTCAGTTTTTGCTTTAATGCCCAGAAGGGACATAACTGAACGTTGTTTTAACTTTACATGGGGCCCTAATCCTCCTCCACAGGCATTACTCAGGTGTTTTTATGAGCAAATGTTAGGAAAGAAAGTCAGATTCTGTTGTAATGAAATATGTGGTGATGAAAAACAGGGACCATGTGCTCTCAGTCAGCCACACCAGCAGGGGGCAGCACTGATCCTTTCATACACAGGAGTCACACACAGCTCCTACAGTTAAGAGCTCTGACTTTCTACAGAGAGAGGACTGCAAGAGGAAGATGAAGATGAGGAAGAGGAGGAGGAGGAAAAAGAAGAGGAGGAGGAGGATTATTGTTCCTCAAATGCAGGGTCAAAGGACAACCCCCCCCCCGCTGCCAGTAACGGGTCACAGCTGTGTGTGTGTGTGTGTGTGTGTGTGTGTGTGTGTGTGCATGTGTGTGTGTGTGTGTGTATGTGTGTGTGTGTGTGTGTGTGTGTGTGTGTGTGTCTGTGTTTTTCAAAAAATCTCAGAATTCAGACTTTTTCTCAGAAATCACAACATTTTTCTGAAAATCTAAAAATCTGGAATTCTTGAGAAAAATGTGGAAATGTTTTGATTTTGAGAAAAAATTTCAACATTTTAAGGATTTTAGATTTTTAGCAAAATCTCTGAATTCTGACTTTCTTCTTAAAAGTCTGACTTTATTTTCAAAATCACAAAATGTTACTACATAACGAAATTCTCAAAATGTTCCCTATTTTCTGGAAATCACTACTTTTTTATTTTTTTTCTCTCAAAATTCGGACTTTTTCACAAAATCCTGAATTTTTTCTCAAAATTCAGACTTTTTTCTCAAAATTCAGACTTTTTCTCAAAATTCAGACTTTTTCTCAAAATTTCGAAATGTAGACTTTTACGGAAAATCTAAGAATTCTGACTTTTTTCTCTCAAAATTCTATATTTTTTCTCAAAATCCTGACTTTTCTCAAAATTCGGACTCTTCAGATTTCACTGTCATATTCCTCCTGCAGTCAGTAACAGGAGATGCTGCTGTGAAACATCCCATCACCTCAGCTGGGAATCATCTCTGATAAAACGGTTACATGCTGCTAGTGCAAAAGGGGCGGAGCTACATCAGGTGTATATAGAGCAGTGACGTGCGGTGAGGTTCGTGGCTGGTGAGGCACTGACTCTTTCAGAGTCAGATTTACAAATATTATATTTTGACCTTAATCGAAATATTCGGTTATTTTCAAAAGCTCTTTTAGTCTGATGCTTCGATTCATTTTAAACAGACCGTTCAACAAAAGGATACCCAAAATCTAAATATTGGATTCTTCTTTCTTAGTAAGATCCCATGTTCATTACAATTGTGGTCTTACCTTGACTTGAAGATGAAGTCCATGCTATCCTTCTGGACAACAATCTCCATTACTGTTTTGTAAAAGTCCTCCTTATCTCCCTCTAGTTTCAAAAGTCTAGTTTGTTGTTTGCGTCTACCGTCTCTGTGTAGAATAACAGTAGCAACAAGAACCTGTGGGCTCATGTGCGCCCCCTGCAGTGCGGCAGAGGTTATGGCTGCCTCTCCTGGTGCGTTTTTCATTGCCGTTGAGACCAGCGAGCCTAAATATCATATATACGTGAAATAAGTTATTTAGAGACTATGGATGGCGAGGATAAATGTAATAAAGGGATCTACAAACATTACATTGGTGACCTACAGTGAGATGGGAACAGGCATGCGCTTAGGGCCCGCTTTCCAGCCAGTTTCTGTGGGGTGACGCATTCTGAGGTGAGGCAGATCTCATCTGTGCCTCACCTCACCCCACAGTAAGCAAATGAGCCTGGCTTGAGCGCGCTCACAAAATAAGTGCCCGCGCTACATTAGTGCCCGCGCTCCAGCAAGTTACTGTGGGCTTACGTGAGGCAGAGCTCGTCCCTGCCTCACTCCTCATCGCTCCCATGTAGTTGTGGTGGAGCTCGGCCAATTTGCTGATTTTGACTATAAAAAGCGATTGGAATCAAACAGAAATCACACTTACAACACAGATCAGTGGAGACATTTTATTATTATTACTATTTAGTTTTTCTTTAGTTGTTTTTCTGTTACATTGGAGTATGACAGGTGAGGCTCTGCCTCCCCTGCCTCCCCTGACTGCACGTCGCTGATATAGAGATATATAAAGATAGACGTCTCACCTGTTCTCTTTCCCAGGCGCAGGTTGAGCAGAGGAGAAGAAGGAAGTGATCGAGTGAATCCCTCCATCATCCTGACCTCTGACCCCTCTGACTCTGAGCCGCCGTGACCTGATGGAGACACACGTTAACATGAAGTTACGCTGACTCATGACCGGTTTTATGACTCATTCCTGCACCTCTCTATAGACCCAGGACATGTGAAGAAATATGGTAAACAAAGAGACCTCAGTGAAACCTCTCTGAGAATCAGTTAGAAAATCACTTTTAAGAAGCAGATCAAACAAGAGTCAGACAGAGGGTGTTTCTCAATGTCAAGGACGCTTCCTTGGTAGGACATGTCTTCCGAGTCAGGTCCTTCAGAAGCTAGGCAAGAATCTTTCCTGGCATTTGGAGAACGAAGAATGGGACAGGCTAGAAAGTGTGCAGGTGTGCGTCATATGAGAGGCCCCGCCTTACATCTTCTGCCACAGATTTGGGAAATTGGTCCATGCGCAAAGCATTGTGGGGATTTTAAGACCGCGGAGGATACACTGGTGCATCCTCGAAATTTCCCGCAATGAAGGATTCAGTCCTCGGTAGAATTCCAAGGATCCTGGACATTGGAACAGTCCTTCGGCGGGATTCGATGACGTAGCATCCTTGAAATAGTGGCTCTGAAGGATCCTTCCTCGACATTGGGAAACACCCTGAGACTTATAGGAATCCTGCGGCCGTGAAATAAGATGAATTAGATAAAAGTAGAAGAAGAGATGAAGTCGAGAATGAAAGGTTTAAAGTTTCCACGCTTCGCCGACACACAGCGACAACAACAAGTCGTTGTTATTGCTTGTTTTCACGCCCTCTAAAACCTATAATTATACTCATTTAGGACTCATTCCTGAACCTCTCTGCAGACGCTAACCTCCAGAGACGGCCGTGTTAAGTTGAGATCCCTTATCTTGACTTTATTTTTCAAAAATACAGACTTTTACTCAATATATCCAAATTCTGCCTTTTTTTCTCAAAGTTCTGACTTTTTTCTCAAAATCTCAAAATTATGGCTTTTTTTTTCAAAATCTCAAAATTATGGCTTTTTTCTCAAAATCTCAAAATTCGGACTTTTTCCTCAAAATTCTGACTTTTTTTTAAAAATCTGACTTTTTTATGAAAATTCTGACTTTTTTATGAAAATTCTTACTTTTATCAAGATTCTTACTTTTATCAAAATTCTTACTTTTTCTCAAAATTCTTACTTTTTCTCAAAATCCTGTGCTGATTTGAGATCAATATTAAGATTGTAATGTATGGGATTAGTTTGGTGTCTTAAAGACAAAGCAACACTTTCTCAGAATCAAGCAAAACTAAGACTTTAATGGCACGTTTCCACTACAGCGCGCAGCCCGGTTTAAGAGGGCTGTGACGTCAGCGGCCCGTCTTTGGTTGCGTTTCCACTTGGCCTAGTACCGGCCGGCGGGTCCTAATTCACAGTTTTTCTGGCCTCATAAAATCGTGGGTCTAGGGCCAGAGACAACGAGGCTGAGTCGGGCTGAGTATGCTAAACTAGAGAGAGCGTCGCTGGCAAGGGGGCTACAACTACAACAAGATGGACATATTTGACCGTGATTTAATTGTAATACACGTTTCAAAATGATGCCGAAGTAACAACATACTGATACCGGTTAGTAAAAACCATGAATTAATGCTTTGTCAAGTCTGCAGACAGACGGCAGGAGAAACACCTTTTAAAATGCTTGTTTTCTGAATGGAGATCAGCTAAGCTAACGCAGTATATGCTGCGACCGTCCACACTCACAACAACGGCCTATACAGACATAAATAAAGCAGCGACTGTATTCACCATGACACAGGCAGTCTGTGGTTTGTACTTGTTTAACTTTGGTCTAGTTTCTGAACAGATATGAGGAGCTGTGAGCTCTGAGTGCTAACAGCTAACGGCTGTGTTGTTTTTCTAGGGTCCTCTGAAGATCACGTCACGGCTCCGCCTACACTGCGTTACTATAGATACTACCCCAGTTCCTAAACTGTAATGGAAATGCGCCATAAAGTGAGCCAGTCCTAACGAGGCCCAGCCATACCGAGCGGGGCCGAGCGAGGCCGTGTAGTGGAAACGCGCCATTAGAGAAAAAAAAACTGAGTCAAGCTAAATACATTTTATTGCAAACAAATCATTTGTGTACTCATGTGAACTATAAGTCTTTTTTCTTTGTTTTAACACATCTCTTTGTTTGCAGTTCTCTTCTTTCTCAACGATCAGACTTTTGCTCTCGCTGCAGCTCCCTCATTTTCTGTTTGAGATTCTGACACAAACGTCCCAGGTGGGCGGGACTTTCAGGGGTGCGTCCCCATTGGCTACTCTGTTTTTGAGTGACAGCCCAGTCCTCCAGCGATTGTACAGTGCAGGCAGCTGCGGTGCGGTAGCTGAGCGTGGATAGAAGACCCCCAGAAGAACCAGCATTTCAATTATTATAATACAAGTGAACATATATGTAAGTATTGATCATTTGTGTTGTTTGTGCCGTACTATACGTCTGTTTCTTTATTGTGTTAAGTGAGAAGCAAAGCTGTGCTATGAAAGTTAGCTTTTGCTACCTTTAGATCCATAACAATGCAAGCTAAGTAGCCTAATAGCAGGGACAGTTAGCCACTTAGCTAGCAGTGAGTGAGCGTTCAGACACCGGCGCACACACTCAAACACCTGCACCAGCTTCATGAAGAAAGACCTGCACCAGCTTCATGAAGAAAGACCTGCACCAGCTTCATGAAGAGAGACCTGCACCAGCTTCATGAAGAGAGACCTGCACCAGCTTCATGAAGAAAGACCTGCACCAGCTTCATGAAGAAAGACCTGCACCAGCTTCATGAAGAAAGACCTGCACCAGCTTCATGAAGAAAGACCTGCACCAGCTTCATGAAGAGAGACCTGCACCAGCTTCATGAAGAGAGACCTGCACCAGCTTCATGAAGAGAGACCTGCACCAGCTTCATGAAGAAAGACCTGCACCAGCTTCATGAAGAAAGACCTGCACCAGCTTCATGAAGAAAGACCTGCACCAGCTTCATGAAGAAAGACCTGCACCAGCTTCATGAAGAGAGACCTGCACCAGCTTCATGAAGAGAGACCTGCACCAGCTTCATGAAGAAAGACCTGCACCAGCTTCATGAAGAAAGACCTGCACCAGCTTCATGAAGAGAGACCTGCACCAGCTTCATGAAGAGAGACCTGCACCAGCTTCATGAAGAGAGACCTGCACCAGCTTCATGAAGAAAGACCCTGCACCAGCTTCATGAAGAAAGACCTGCACCAGCTTCATGAAGAAAGACCTGCACCAGCTTCATGAAGAGAGACCTGCACCAGCTTCATGAAGAAAGACCTGCACCAGCTTCATGAAGAAAGACCTGCACCAGCTTCATGAAGAGAGACCTGCACCAGCTTCATGAAGAGAGACCTGCACCAGCTTCATGAAGAAAGACCTGCACCAGCTTCATGAAGAAAGACCTGCACCAGCTTCATGAAGAAGACCTGCACCAGCTTCATGAAGAGAGACCTGCACCAGCTTCATGAAGAAAGACCTGCACCAGCTTCATGAAGAAAGACCTGCACCAGCTTCATGAAGAGAGACCTGCACCAGCTTCATGAAGAGAGACCTGCACCAGCTTCATGAAGAAAGACCTGCACCAGCTTCATGAAGAGAGACCTGCACCAGCTTCATGAAGAAGACCTGCACCAGCTTCATGAAGAAAGACCTGCACCAGCTTCATGAAGAGAGGACCTGCACCAGCTTCATGAAGAGAGACCTGCACCAGCTTCATGAAGAGAGACCTGCACCAGCTTCATGAAGAAAGACCTGCACCAGCTTCATGAAGAAAGACCTGCACCAGCTTCATGAAGAAAGACCTGCACCAGCTTCATGAAGAGAGACCTGCACCAGCTTCATGAAGAAAGACCTGCACCAGCTTCATGAAGAGAGACCTGCACCAGCTTCGTGAAGAGAGACCTGCACCAGCTTCATGAAAAAAGACCTGCACCAGCTTCATGAAGAGAGACCTGCACCGGCTTCATGAAGAAAGACCTGCACCAGCTTCATGAAGAGAGACCTGCACCAGCTTCATGAAGAGAGACCTGCACCAGCTTCATGAAGAGAGACCTGCACCAGCTTCATGAAGAGAGACCTGCACCAGCTTCGTGAAGAGAGACCTGCACCAGCTTCATGAAGAAAGACCTGCACCAGCTTCATGAAGAGAGACCTGCACCGGCTTCATGAAGAAAGACCTGCACCAGCTTCATGAAGAGAGACCTGCACCAGCTTCATGAAGAGAGACCTGCACCAGCTTCATGAAGAGAGACCTGCACCAGCTTCATGAAGAGAGACCTGCACCAGCTTCATGAAGAGAGACCTGCACCAGCTTCGTGAAGAAAGACCTGCACCAGCTTCGTGAAGAGAGACCTGCACCAGCTTCATGAAGAAAGACCTGCACCAGCTTCATGAAGAAAGACCTGCACCAGCTTCGTGAAGAGAGACCTGCACCAGCTTCGTGAAGAGAGACCTGCACCAGCTTCATGAAGAGAGACCTGCACCAGCTTCATGAAGAAAGACCTGCACCAGCTTCGTGAAGAGAGACCTGCACCAGCTTCGTGAAGAGAGACCTGCACCAGCTTCGTGAAGAGAGACCTGCACCAGCTTCGTGAAGAGAGACCTGCACCAGCTTCATGAAGAGAGACCTGCACCAGCTTCATGAAGAAAGACCTGCATCAGCTTCGTGAAGAGAGACCTGCACCAGTTTCATGAAGAGAGACCTGCACCAGCTTCGTGAAGAGAGACCTGCACCAGCTTCGTGAAGAGAGACCTGCACCAGCTTCGTGAAGAGAGACCTGCACCAGCTTCGTGAAGAGAGACCTGCACCAGCTTCATGAAGAGAGACCTGCACCGGCTTCATGAAGAAAGACCTGCACCAGCTTCATGAAGAGAGACCTGCACCAGCTTCATGAAGAGAGACCTGCACCAGCTTCATGAAGAGAGACCTGCACCAGCTTCATGAAGAGAGACCTGCACCAGCTTCATGAAGAGAGACCTGCACCAGCTTCATGAAGAAAGACCTGCACCAGCTTC